ACATCACCAAATTTATAACGTTTTAACTTTTTTTTACTTGCTGGACCTGCCTTCGTCAACCTATCAACACGAATCGAATATTTTTTGAATCATTTAAATTGGTTGATCTGTGTTTTCTTTTTGAGAAGATGCCGCGGTGCCTCTAGGCCAAAAGTGCTCTCAACCTAAAACTAGGCAAGTTTTAGGTCTGAGTGCAATAGCGCATACCTCGGAAACTACCGTATGAACCAATTTAAAATTTGTGTCAGAATATTGGTGAAGTATAATAACAATGGTTGTCAAGTTTCGTTAAATTTGCATTATCCCCTTTTGAGAAGATACCACTTTGAGTTTGATACTGAAATTTGGCTAGTTTTAGGTCAGAGTCCAATCTCGTATATCTCGCAAACTACCGTATGAACCATTTTAAAATTTGTGTCACAATCTTAGTAAAGTATAATAACAATATGTGCCAAGTTTCATTAAATTCGCATGATCCGCTTATGAGAAGATACCATGGTTCATCTAGGCCAAACGTGCTCTTAACCTGAAACTAAGCCAGTTTCAGGTCAGAGTGCAAGCTAGCAAATCTGAGTTTAAATCTCTTAAAAAAATTATATTTATTTTAAATTACCTCGTGGTTAATAAAACTAAGAGTAAGTGGAATATTGCACCCTATTGGGGATTGCAAAAACATCCTAATGTCGGTGAATAGTCTCTCTAGCCAAAAAAAAATTAGATTTGGCGGCTTTTATAATTGTGACGCTTGGACTTTGAAATATTGAAACGGCACCTTATTCCTAACATTAATGAATTTTTATAATTAACTTTCTTTGGTCTATTTTTATAGTATATAATTTTCGATATAGTTTTAAATTATAATAAGTACAAATTTTGTGTACGTTTATGTGGGTTCTGTACCAAATCAGCTATGCAATTTGATTGCTTAAAGATGTTCAAAATTTTCAGAAATTTTTGAGATAAATCAAAATACAAAAAAAACAAAACATAAAAATCCAATTTTCCAAAAAGTCGATTTTTTTCAAAAATTTTAAATTTGTCAAAAATCAAATTTTTGCCAAGTTTTGCAAAGCTTTTTTATTTAAATTTAGTTTTTGGTACTGGAACTGCCAGCAATTTGCACCACTAGTTTTTGTTAAATTTGTATAAATATTTATTAAACAAATTGTTAAATGTAACATTGTGCAAAACGTAGTTATTTATTGAATAAAGAAATCCTTCAGAGGCACGAACAAATAAAACCATATAAAGTTACAGAATGATAGACTTGGGTTTCAAATATATTACTGTATTTATTGAATAATGTTATCGATAATTCATAGACTAATTTCATAAAAAAAAATTATGAAAAATAGTTTTTGCGCTGAAGGCTTTAAAATCCGCGGGTAACGTAACAATTTTATTTTACAAGTGAAGTTGAGGATTTTTAACGACAATATTTGAAAGTATAGGGACAAAGATGTATAACCAGCTATCACCTTAATTTAAGCAACAAAAATATGTTCCCTCGTTGTTAATTTTTTTTCGTTTTTAGCACTGTTGTTTAGTTTACTAGACCAGAATATAATTTTTAAGTGTACGTTATTTAATTGTTTTATAAGATGTATTGTTCATTTTAAGTTAGATTCAACAGTTTTTTTATATAACCAATATAAAAGCTTAAACTGATTTGAATAATTCAAAAAACATTCGATTCGTATTGATAAGGAGACGTGCTGATTAGTTTTTGGTGAAGGCAGGTCTAGCCGTTCCGAAGATACGGGGCAAAAAGTGCCAAAAACACGGTAACTCAGTTTTTAAGAGAATGGAGCGTCCGATTTTAATAATTCAAAAAACATTTTATTTGTATTGAGTAAATACAAATACTGTTCAATTTTTTGGAAAGAAAAGTCCAATGACTTTGGAGATATGAAGAAAAAAGTAAAAAAATGAGCCATTTGGCGGTCAAAAATGAACATTAGACATATGCACATCAAATTACCTGATATTTTATAGAGATTTTAACAACAAGTATAAATTTTGTTTACATTCTTTTGGGTTCCGTACCAATGTTTACGCGTTAGACGGCAACGCGGCGCTTACGCGCTTTGATATTTCGTCTTTATGCAGTTAAAGCAGTACGATTGCTTTGAAAAAAAGTTCAGAATTTCCAAAATATTTCAAAATAAATGATTTAAGATAGAATGATTTAATATGGTTCGAAATTCTATTAAAAGTTTCAAATCATTGATCAACTTTTATTGATTATTTTTAATTGCGAATTTTGAATTGCGTAACGGGAAGTTCCAGCAATTTGCCTTAAGGCACGATGCCCTTATTGCCTAAAGACAAAATTCCACTTACAGCTAGTTGCTTATTTGATTATAACAAAATTTTTGAGAGTAGTTAAATATACTACCTAATTTATTTTTAAAAAAAGTCGATTTTCCCTATTCGTGTCAACGGTTTCGTCCCGAGCATATGTACCCTGACTCCGTTCACCAAATAGTACTTGCCGAATACAATGTTAACATGAATTAAACACGAATCCTGGTGCTGTGTGTCCTCTTATATATCTCCTATATAGTATTACGTATATGTATGTAGCTATGTAGTGTGATGTAGAAATGCAATAGTTGATGACTTAACCGCTTTGCTCGTGGCCGTGCGGTTTCGACTATTGTTTCTATGGCACTTAACTGTATTGTCATTCTTAGCTTTCAGAGCTGTGACATTCTCTTCAACACCTCTTTGATGGCGACATATTACGGGATTGTCAAAGTTTTGGACAAAGGCGACGATTTGATCAAATGAAGTAGTAATAAGTCAAATACCTGGGATATATTCATGCTTTTATCACTACCCATTCGAGTGGTTAATTTAAATGTGTTCATGCTCCCAAAAATATGTCCCTTATCAAAATGAGTTTATTAATTTATTATTTATTTTCCGAATGCGGATACACAACACATCTGATATTTATTATGGTGGCGTCAATATTTTGAGCGTCCACCGATTCCGAGAATAAGAAAAGCACTTTACTTGATTGAACTGGGCGCTTCTTTTCTGCCCGAGAAAAGAGGCAAAGAGTTGAAAAAGACCGAAAAAAGGTCAAAGAAACATATTTTGCCGATACATATAGAAAACATACTTACAAATATTCATTTATATACATACTAGGGTTTATACAAAAACCGACATTTTAGAAAACCGGCTTTCGAATTTTAATTTCACTAGAAAACCGGTTTTAACCGGTTTTCGAATTTTATATAGAAAATAAATTTTTTCTCGAATATCATGTAATTTTTTCGCAAATTTAATGTAATTTAGACCAGTATTTGACTGAATTTATTTATTGTTCAATTTTATAGATAGTAAACAAAATTATTTTAATTTTAATTAGTAGAACTAAAAAATAGTAGTTTATCTTGATTAAATAATTTTGAAAAAAATTATTTGTTATTTATGCATAATTTTCACATATAAAAATGAAAATATTTTTATGATAGTGAAAAGAAAGTTTTCTAATAAATAAA